ATTGATACTCATGCAACAAACCATCCAATTGGCACTATTATTGATAAGTATTGAAGTTACTATTGAACTAAATTATATATCTAATCATTTTGTAATTCCTTAGAATTGAAGTTGAATCTAAATATGTAATCTTTGGCAATAGAGATTATTTATAATAATTAGTATTAAAAGTAGTTATACTTATTTATATGAATAGATTAATATATTATGGCTATAAAGTTAGAAGCTATTACAAACTATATAAGTCATGATGTTGTGATTTTTCTACTCAATCGTGTCCTTGTGATTTACTTTTGCAATCAAATGGTGTCAAAAGTTCTTGATTGGTCTCTTTAAGACAAGTTAATTCCATTAATCATCAACTTCTTTGATTTGGTTGTTGGTCTATCAATCTAATCAATAAGTAATACTCATTGCTATAGCAATCTCCAATTAAAAGCATTTACTTTTGAAATCAAATGGTGTCAAAAGTTGTTGATTGGTCTCTTCAAGACAAGTTAATACCATTAATCCTCAACTTCTTTGATTTGGTTGTTGGTCTATCAATCTAATCAATAAGTAATACTCATTGCTATAGCAATCTCCAATTAAAAGCACCTTTATCACTTGCAACTTCTATTAGTGAATTTTTTTTTCATTATGTTTTTATAGATTGCTTGAGTTCATATCATACAAATGTCCAATCTACTCTCTTTCATCAATAAGTCATTCAAATGTCTTGTAGATATTAGAATGAATATTTTTTTTTATTCGACATCTTGAAGTTGTTTGCTTGCATAAAATTTGTATTTTTTTTTATTTTTATTTCTTACACTTGCCAATATTCAAAAGGTTTTATGTGATACCTAATAAAATACAAGAATTTAACTACAACATCTAATATCTTTTTACTAAGCTATTTTGAAACTTGATTTGATTGACATGGTTTCCTTCAAATGCTGTAGAATTGTAAACTTGCAACTATAATATGCAAAAATATGTGCTGTAGGCTTGTTGAGGCCTTTCATACAAATATTTCATAAATATATTTTTTTTATTTAATTGTCTTAGCTTATATTCTACTATCTCAATTATTACTTCAATGTTTATTTAACACTAAAAAATTTACTTTTAAAATTGGTTTAGGTCTTCTTGAAGCTTGAATTTAAGTTAAAAAACCAATTATAGTAGTATTTTTCAAAAGTGATCTTTAATCAAAGTTAAATTTCTACAAAATCTTTAATTAAAGATCACTCAAACAAAAAAAATCACATTTCTATTGGATAACTAAGTACTTGAATTTGAAGCTTTAACAACAATATTCATGAGGATTTTATACAATAAATTATTAGCAAAATTATATGACAATGAGCTACCAATTACAATAATATGAGATCCAAAAAAAAATCCACAAGCCAAACAAAGTATTTTTCATGTAAATTATTCTATTTTACTTCTAAAAAGTAATGGTTGGATACTTTATAGGTGATAACATCCATCCAAGAATAATTTTTGAATGTGGAGAGTCATTTGTACACTCTTTATTGAATTTGACTAAATTCTAAGACCAAAGTTTTTGGAAATCAAGGATATTGGCAACTATGGAATAAACTAAGAAATCCTTATCAACTGCTTACTCGAGAAGCAAATGGTTTTTCTAAGCTTGGCATCCAAGCCATCCATCAAAGAGTTGAATTTTTAAGATCAAGAATGGAAGCATGAACTTGTGCTTAAAAACTAATAGACCTAGTAAAGAAAATAGTATGTGCATTGGAAGCCTTTTTGGATCCACCCACTACATGCTTTGCCTTCTAAGCCATAAGATCACATGTTTGTTAGAAGACTTTATATCTTCCAAAAGCTTTGCTTAAGATATTTATTAGTAATTTACTTTGATTTCTCAAGTATTATTGAGAATTGTGGTTGGTAGATTTGAAATAATTTGCTCCTTCTTTTATGTTTCAAAAAATAAAATAAAATAAAATAAAAATTTTCACAAATTTGTAAGACATGAAAGCACAATTGGAATGAGATGATTTTAAATTTTGGTTAATAATATTTAAAAATAAAAAATATCCCAAAAATATTTGTTGCATTTGAGATTGCTCCACTGGCAGCCGAGATCGACTGGTAGGAATGAGGTCTCATCAAGCACTTAACAATGACAAGCTCTAAGTCTTCATAGAGGAATTCAATTCATTCTTTGCGATTGCACCATCAAAACCTCAAGTCCTTCACTATTTGACAATAGAGGATTGTGATGTTGAAAAGGTCAATTTTGCTCCCAAAAGATATTGAGTCCTAGGCATTTTTGTTGTATCCTCTTGTTTTAATTTATGTGCCGGGTGTACCCCACTTGTGTCAAAAATAAAATAAAACAAAATAAAAGCTTGATTCTACATGATCGAAAGAACAATAACACTAACATGGTTGTGATCAATTTTTAGTAATATTTAATTGTGCGGATATAGAAAATGCCAACAACATTCAATAAACACAGAACCGAGAAAGAAGCTGAGAGAAGCGCATTCCACCGAAGACTCTCAATTCTCAACCAGGGAGAGTTCTCCTATTCTATGTGTTCCTACTTAGAGATGTCCTTGTTGCAATCATCCCACATTTGATTCGTAATCAACAAAAAGCCCTCCGATTGACGGCTGCCTCAAGAGGTAGCTGTTTGAGCGATTCAACTTAACAAGAAGTGCATTTTAATGGCATAACTCAAAATTTGGAACGGCACAGATTTGCGGCAACAAAGAGTAAGAAATTCGACAACTTCAGCTAATGCGTGGAAAAGAATCATTGTCACCTACAATATGTACAAGTCTCTGTTGCTGAATCTCACTATCCAAGGGAAATTCAAGCGCAATGGCGCTCTTGTTTATCTTCATTGGATAAACAACTAAATTAGAAAAGAATGCTACTTCGGAGCCAATTGATGGTGAAAAAATGTGAAGTCATCTCGTCGGCCAGTGAGAAAACTGGCTACTCTCGGTCCGAACTCCATCAACTAGGAGTATGTCATTGGTCCCCAGTAAGTCGTCCTGATTCTTGCAGTTAAAGTGAACGATTGATGGGGTTGGCCTTCAGCAGCGGAGAAGTTCGAGTTGAAGGTGATCGCAACGACATAGTCTGATTTCCTTTCGAGACAAATCCCGATTCAATTGTCCTTCCAAGCCATCTGCCGCTTCGACGGAGGTCGCTACTTCGACGAGCCTCCGTCGCCCATTGGTGTCTTGCTTGGAGGTCTCCATTTGGAGGATCCACCATCGCCCATCTGGCACTTGGATGGAGGCCTCCACTTCGATGATCCACCATCACCTCGTATTGCCATTCTATGTGCTTTGTGAAGCTTGATTATAACTCTTGAATTTCCCAACTTCGACAAAGGCTCTAAAAACTTGAGGTAAGCAGATAACTGATCACTGCACAATCTGTTGATTACTTGGAGCAGGCGGTGTTCAAGTTGTATAGCTTGATTGCTATGTGCTCAAGTAAGCTCAAACACCGAGATAGAATGATTTCATTCACTGCGAGTTGTCCAATATATAAGTTCGATGAAGTGGACTTCGGCGATTCCAAGTCGTTGGGAAGAATTGGATGAAGGCAGTTGGGGGACGCGGAGCAGTTGCTCGTGCGCTCAGCAAGCCTTGCCAGACAATTTTCCACTTACCAAAACGGAGCTCGAGAGATGGAACCTTGGAGTTGAGTAATTTGACGATCTAAATTATCGTTTTGAACGAAACGCGAAGTTGGGTGACGCCACAACGACCACTGGCGTAGGGTTGACAGAATTGATCCGCCAAATCATCGCTGTCTTCAGCTGCCAATCGACGTGCTTTGATCGCCCTGCAGCTTCAAGAGAGATTGCACAATGGAGGCGTGGAAGGTGAGGTGAAGGTGAAGGTGGCCGTCGGTCCAACGGTTCAACTGCTTCAAGGTTCATCGACAACCAGAATTTCCTGCACGACTTTGAACAGTATACATTAGCATGTGTCGCGCTTCGTGTTTTTCGGGGACCCACTCCGGGTCTCTCATGCGCAGCTGCCGACGAAAGTGTACAAACAGTCTTTTCATCACCAGCAAAGTCTCCCCTCAAGAAGCGGTCACTGAAGAGCTTCTGGTCTCGGAATTTATTACTTTTTAGTAATTCTGATACTAATGCTACAGTGGAATTTCCTGCGAAGCACGTCCGATCATAAAGGCTTGTTCAAGTCTCTAGCTGTCTCTCTTAAGGCAAGATCGAAGAGTACTGCAACCAATTCAATGACCTCATAATCTTGGACTAGGTTGGGATACATGTAAATTTCCCACCTTTGGGTGTTTCATGTCTTGGTTTTAATTCTCGTTGGAAATGTAGGTATAAATTTAGCTTCCTTCACCTCAATAACTAGCAATATGACGTTTACCCCAATTTTTACTTATAGCGTATGATAATCAAACAGAAAATATTCTGTACAGAATGCTTGGAATGAACATACTTTATTAAGACTGCAAATAACGCTCTGTTTCATCTGATAAGTTAACTGATTGATTTCTGAAGTGAAGTTCTAGCTAGTTTCTCAAAAATGTGACACTATGTCAACTTATAAATTACAAAGCTTTGGTACGATGGATGGTTTGATCAATGTCGACATATTTATATTTTGATAAGATTGACCACTGGCTTGTTTTTAGATCGCAGTCGATAGAGAACGAATGTGAGTTGGAGTCTCGAGTATTTTAATACAAATTTGCTGCCAGAATCTAGGACTACTGGCAGTAGGGTCAACTTTACTAGTCTCGTGCAGATAGTGGGGCCATTCAGCCTTTTTGTCAGTCATCTTCGCATGGAATGGCACACCTGCCAATCCCAGCATGCCAATACAGCACATCCTCCAAGATTCCCGACAAAGTGCATCTTCTTAACATAGCTCTAAGCGAATACACAGCAATTTCCTGATGAGAAATTTGGAAGAAGGAAGTTCTTCTCCAATTGCGCATTCAAGTTCCTTGTTGTTCAAGAATGTTGTACAGCTGGATTTGTGATCAATTGTTAGTTATTTCTGGAGTGTGGATTGCGGTGCAAGAATGTAGAAATGCGAGCCCATGTCTGACAATGACTGCCGACATTACCGCCAGACTTGGGCTTCAAGCTTCTTCTATGCTGGAGCTGCCATAGAGAATTTGATAAATACTGAAGCTCAGTGGTTACATGACACATGTTCGTTCTGGTTGAAATCCGATTTCGGTGATAAAGACTGCAATAGAATCGCCTTCAGCCCCCCAGCAGATTTGCAGATACTTCTTCAGGTCTCAATTCGTGCTGTTAGAAAACTTCGAAGTGAATAGTCTTCGGAGGGATTGGTGGGTGCTGTGAGTTAAACTCATTCGAACGTTAGGCTTCGGAGGTGCGGAATGGGTGGAATGAGCTTGGAAGGTGACGGGGGCAGCTCGAAGTGGAACCCTCCCCGTATCAGGTGCTGATGCCGCTGCTTCTTGCTAAGGGCAAGATATTGGTTTTCGAACCTCGTCAACAGTCGAACCTGAGCTTGAGAATCCTGCACTGCGCTATCTGTCTGGACGTAAAGTAGTTGATGCAACTCACTGGTGTGAACACCAGCTTGAGTTCAAGAGATTTCTAAATGCTCAGAAGATTTCAAGTGCATTCTGCATCGCGTTAAATTCTGAAATAGTTTTTAGCTGAAATGGATACTTCCAGTGATTAAAGTCATTTACCTTTGCTAGTGGGAAAATTGAACTGTGGAATGTGGACTTCTTCATCACATGATGCAAAAGGAGGCAGATTCTTCATTTCGTGGGATAAACTTCTCTGAGCTCGGCCCAGTTTGCTGCGCACGGTGAGAATGACAAATTTTGTAACGAGGAACAATTTTTTTTTCAAGTAAAGCCGGCAAAGTATGTTATTGATATTTCCTGACTCACTTGGTTTAATTGTATAACTAGTTGATGCAATTTGTATGCTTTCTGCTATGCATCGAAGGTGTTGGAAACTATACTTGACAACTTCTGGGAAGTCATGTCATTGGTGGGCTCGACTGGATCATGCCACAGTTGATGGAATAGCTTTTAATGCTTGCCACTAACTATATCTCGTGAATGAATACTGGATTTTCTTTTGGCAAGACGTCTGAATTAGAGTAAAGACTAAGCCGGCAGATGTGCCTAATGGATCATGGTGGAATCCCAGACGAATGAAGACATCCCAACAGTTTTGGGACCTGGGCCGCGGAACTTCGAATGGTTGAAAACGTATGACGGTCGCAGGTTGCGATCCTGGAGGTCGACGTTGACAAGAGAACCCTGCCGCTGCAGTCGGCAATTGCGACTTCAAGTTTTCCTTCTCACCCGTACCCAGCTTGAGAGAGAGGGACATAGAGTTTGACCAGACCACAAAGAGATTTGTTGCTAAAGGGTGAATTCGTCGTGGCCATGGCAGGAACAGCAGTCAAAACTTTAAGTGAGATTTTCGCTAGTGTCACTGACCTTTGACAGTGTCTTCATTTGTCCAACTCCTACATCATGCGGTACGTAATCTCGCATGCTTAACACTCTCCGGTACAGGCGAAATCAAGTGAATCCAACAATGATGCACGGATTCCAATAAATTTGAGGGTCGAATATCTACGCCACATGCTTACATGAACTCACTCAGTCGCTGCTGACCTATATTCATCTTTGTATTCCTAACTGAAAGTTTCGACCGTAATCTGGTTCTCAGTTTTAGTCCTGTAGTGATTCACCACCTCCTCCGGATCCAAATGTGCGTTACCATTTCGTTTGAAATAATCAGTGCTTCTTACGATACTTCCACCCCACCCACCTCCGCAAATGTTTTGCACTTCTGTGAAATCGTGAGTCTGGCGCCAAAAGTTGAAAAAACTATAGCGATAGGGTCGAAGTGTGATAACGAACACGACTCCGCGAAAACCTACGCGGGGGTGGAATGGTTTGTCTCATTACTTCGTCCTCTGATCGTTTAGGACGAGATACGAATGCATTGTGGAGTTGTTGCAGGGAGAGATGGCCCATGAGTACTGTATCTCCTGACAGGAGACTGAGAAGACAGAGATTCTATCATAACACAAAGTGTATACCATACAGAAACATATAATAATGGTTGCGCAATGCACAGTACAAAGGTGATCGATATGATTTTTCGAACAGTACATATACCTTCGAGACGATAGTTCGAGGATGACAACCTGGATGAGAGTGATGCCCTGTCAGGTCATGTGATCAGGGTATATATCAGATATCTCTGACATGCCCCCTCACTTGGATGTGTTTACGATGATATTCAAGTGGAACAAGGTGTCTAGACATAAGGTTTTAGAAGTTTAACGGTGAACGATGGTGAAGGAGTGTGAACGATAGGAAGAAGAGTTCTGTTGAAAGTGTAAACATCCGACACAAGAGGTGGTCTGTGATGATCGTCGGTCTTTGGTGAGAGTGCGTTCTTTCCTCGTGTCTTGGTGGTGACTGTTTTTTGAGAGTATGTAGATGTGTTGACTTTTTTTTTTTTTTTTTTTTTGAAGCAGATGCAGTTGATCTCCCTCAGGTGTTGGTGTATCACTGTTGCTCTGCGTTGAGTATGTTCTTCAAGTTTTGATTTTGCCTTTCTATGGCTCCATTGGTTGATGTCATCGGGAAGAATGTCGACAGTGAAGAAGCCGGATGAGGTGATCGGAAGGGAGCGGTACCACGTTGTGCGCTGCGGCCGTAGACCTAGTGCCTATCTGAGTTGGACAAAGTGTAGAAAACAAGTGGATGGGTTCAGGGGTGCCGAGCACAGAGTTTTTAAGGTGCTGGCAGAAGCTGAAGAGTTTGTGAGTGAAGTTTAGGGTTTCTAAGTAGTATCTATACTAGTGGCTATCTAACCAATTCAGATCTTGTGTGCTTAGTTGTGAGCTAAAATAAACTTCCACTAGTTGTAAGTTTATTTTAGTTCACAACAAGTGAATTAATTATGGAAATTTTAGAAATTTTAACATTTATTTTAATCTTAATCGAATCACTTTTAACCTTCTTAAATCACCCATGTGTAAGGTAAAAATAATCTCTACTAATTGGAGTTATTCCTAGTTCACAACAATTGAGAACTTTCTAATTTTGAAAAATTATAGCTCTTATTTAATTAAATTTAATTCACTCAAAAAAAAAAAAAAAAAAAAAAACTCCTTAATTCATTTAATTGGTCAAAGAATCCCTACTACCAATGCTTACATATAAGAATAAGTCATTCCAAAATGTTATGAAATTTAAAAATAATCATTACTACTATTTTATTTTATTTTTTAATTTTTTGTTTTGTTTTAATTTTTAATTTTTTAATTTTAATTTTGGATTAACATTCATCCATCAATAAGAATTCATCCTTAAATGACTATTCATCTGAATATAATAATTCATCTTTAAATGACTATTCATCTAAATATAATAATTCATCTTTAAATGACTATTCATCTAAATATAATAATTTATCTTTAAATGACTATTCATCTAAATATAATAATTCATCTTTAAATGACTATTCATCTAAATATAATAATTCATCTTTAAATGACTATTCATCTAAATATAATAATTCATCTTTAAATGACTATTCATCTAAATATAATAATTCATCTTTAAATGACTATTCATCTAAATATAATAATTCATCTTTAAATGACTATTCATCTAAATATAATAATTCATCCAATTATAAAAATTTATACAATAATTTTTATTTAATTTAAATTTAATCATTCAACTTTTCAATAAGTATTAAATGTCAAAATACCAAATTTTGGTTAGACTCCAATACCACCATATACTAGCATAAAGTTCAAAGGAAAACTCAATTCAAATTGAAGCTTTAGATTTACTATACAAAACTAAAATCTAAATTAACACATTTAGTAAACTCAATAGGAATTATATTTTCTTCCACGCAACCTAAGCGGAGGCTTTCAAAACCTCCTAAATATTTGTCGTAGTTATCCAATGTTTATTTTCCTTTCCACACATACTCCATACTAGGCCTAGTGAAATAGAAGTCTTTAGTATAAGACTTCCAACTACATTATAAATACTTATGACCATAATCATAGCTTTGAACTTTAAATTCTGAATTAACTGCATTTTGAAGCATCAACATCTAATAGCAAAATTTTAGGCTTGAGCTCAAAGCTATAACTTATCAACAATTTGTAGCCCAAGCTTTTTAACCATTGTATCTTAAGTTACTCATGCACAAAGCTCTATAATCAATGTCATCATCGCCACAATATCTATGATGAAGGCACCACCACAGTATATAGTACCTTTGGAGCCAATACTTCTTCCATCCAAGTATCTCTAGGAAAATAAAAAATAACATAGCAAAATAAAAATAAAAAACAAAATATGGCCCTTCCCTATAATTATACACCATTCAAAGCTATGACTCCACCTTGCCAAGAACTATTAAAAAAAAAACCAAATTGGTGTAACAAACACCACCACACTTTATAATATTGCATCACTATGATCCACCATTAAGTACCAATTACAAATACATTGTAATCAACTCTACCAATGATACAACTGCAATAGAATAATAAATACAAATTAAACTAGTAAAGAACCACTCAAATAATGTCAGTGATCTTTTACACTAGCTCCAACTATCTTCACTAAGAAGCACTACCATCTATCATCTAGATGTCATTGCACATGACTTCTTCACCATCAAAATGAAAATGTGGAGATTAAATGAATCTAAAATATATCAATATTTTAATTGTTAAAATAAGAATAAGATACAATTATCTTAAGTAAGTTTCTAATAGTCAAAAGGTAGTAAACAAATAAAAGTAACTTACTAGTATGATAGCTAGGGTTTGATGTGGTAGCTAGTCTAAGACGAATGTAGGGTTAAGTTGGATGCATGAAGATAATTATAGATGAAGTTTAATTACAATAAATATAAATTCCTCCTATAAATAAAGGATGTTGGAAGAAAGAGGCATCTCATTCTCATTTCTTTTGTATGCAACTATATTGATTTCTACTTATTTGTATCTTACTTATTATATTTCTTCAATAGATTATATATCCATACATACTTTGTTGTGCCATTTAAGTAAGTTGATATTATTCTCTAGTAGTTGTACTTATATGGAATAGATCTTATGGTATTTATTATTATTAGGATTTATAAGATCTAAACTTGTTTTGGCATGAGAAGGTATTGATTTTGATCTTATAAATCTCTAATATTATTTGGTGGATTCTTAATGCTTAGGATTGTGAATATAAGACCTTATAAAAAGACCTTGATAGTATTTTTTTGTGTTGTTGAAGTTGTTCCACTTACCTTGTGTGTATTGTGAAATAAGTAGTTTGAATGAGCAAGAGATTTAGATTGTAAGGTTCGTTGGAGTACACATACTTGTTGAAAGCTTGAAAACTTCATTCAAGAGTATCTTGAATGAGAAAGCACTGCATTGTTTACAAGAAGGCATTTTAAGATTCTACTAGTGTTAAATTGATTTAGTGATTTTGAGCACATAAAGACTACTTTTTTTAATATTTTTTGATAGGACTCTTCTTAGACATGGCTTCTAGAGAATATGAAGGTTTGAGAGTGATTAAAAAGTTTAGATGGGACAATTTCTATCATTGAAAGAACAAAATAGAGCTTTATTTGGTGTCTTTAGATCTTTGGAATATTATAGATGAAAGTAAAGAATCTCCAAGAATTCATATAGATACTAAAGAAAAGAAGGAATTCAATCTCCAAGACTTCATTGCTCATGTCAATAAGGTAAAGGTCCTTGTAAATCAACTACCAATTATTGATAAGTCTCTAGAAGAATGTAATATTATCATGACCTTATTTATGAGCCTTCCTCAATCCTACAACTACTTCATTGTCGCATTGAAATCCATTAAGCTAAAAGAACTTAGAATGAATTATGTGACAACAAGACTTGCCCATGAAGTAACCAAGAAGAAAGAAAAAGAGCCTCAAAGTGAAGATTTGGCTTTCATTTTGAAACAAAGTATAGAGAGCTACTCTAATTAACATGACAATGTAAAAACTTGCTTCATTTATAATAAATCAAGTCACTTTGTATGAAATTATTCTAAGGTATTAAAAAAAAAAAAAAAATAGAAAAAGTGCCAATAATGTACATGAGCAATTTGGAGGACATGATTTTGCATTCATGGCAAGTGAAGGTACTTCTATAGCTGTTGTAGTTAAGTAGATTGTTGATTTGAGTACCACCAAGTACATAACTTCATACAAGTATTTATTTGATACTTATAAAGAAATTTTAATAAAAAATATTTTTATTGGAGACAATGGTGTGGTAAAAGCCATTGAAATGGGCTCCATTTTGGTGGATATTGTTTTGAGAGGAAAAACTAAGAAGATTAGATTAAAAGACATCTTGTATGTACCTAAGATCAAGGAAAACCTCCTTTTGATAAGTAAACTAGTTCCATATGGTTGTAAGGTGTAATTTCATAAGAATGGATGCTTTGTAAAAAAATTGGATAGACATGATGTTGCCAAAGGCTTTAGAAATGGCAATTTTTAATTCATCTAATATAAAAAAGTGAATAGAGTTGAAGTAGCCACATTTGCTAAGTTTCCACATAATCAAGACAAATTTGGCATTTGGCATCAACACCTTTGTTATTTGAATGCCAAGAATATAAAAGAACTTCAATCCATGGTAAGTGGCTTGGATCTTGATTAATTCAACCACAATTCCATGACACTTGCTTGTAAAGATTGTATCTAAGGCAAAAAATAAAAGGCCTCATTTTCAAGTAGAATTACAATATGTAAAAATAATTTTTTAGAGATTGTGCATTTAGATGTTTGTGGATCAATGAAGATACCATCAATTAGAGAAGCAAGATACTTTGTTACATTCATTGATGATTTTTTAATAAAGATGTAGATTTTTATCTTCAAATCTAACAATGAGTGTTTTTTAAGTTTTAAAGAATTTAAGGCACTTATAGAAAAGAAATGTGAATGTAAGATCAAAATATTATACACAGATAATAGATGTGAATATTTATCAAAATATTTTGATGACTTCTTGAAGATTCAAGATATTGTAAGACAAACCTCTATTTTTTTATACTCCACAACAAAATGGAGTTGCTAAAGGAGCAAATCAAATTATTATAGTGATGGCAAGGAGTATACTACATGCTTAATATCTTGAATATGAATTTTGAGTAGAAGCTATGGTGAATGTGGTATATATAAGGAATAGGTGCCTTTCAAGTACACTCACATCAATGATTTTAGAAGAAGGATGGAATAGGAAGAAATCTTATATTTCACATACGAGGGCTTTTGGATGCATTGCTTATGCAAAGGTATCAGATTGTATAAGGTCCAAACTTCATAAAAAAGATACAAAATATGCATTTGTTTGATATTGTGAAGGTACCAAGGCATATAGGCTAATATGTTTGGATACCAAGAAGATCATTAAAAATCATGATATAGAATTTTTGGAGTATAAGAATGCTTGTGAGTACTTAGAGATATGCTATGTGAGAGTAATGATATATTTTTAGATATGTCTTTAAATTCAACAAAAAAAGAAGAAGAAGATGATGACAATGAAGATGGTCGAGGTATGAATGAAGGTGAAAAGATAATAAAGATGAAGGAGAAGGCTTCAGTAATTTCTAAGACCAATAATTAAGATGTTGAAGATTGTGATGATGATGATAATAAAGAGTACCAATCTTTGAGTGAGAAAAGACAAGCTTTTAAGGAAAAGAAGCTAAGAAGACAGGATGGAGTGTAATTAGATGAATCTTCAAATAAAAGAAGATATCTTATAAGAGATAAAAAAAAAAAAAAAAAAACTTGATGAATAGTAGAAGAACCACATATTTCTTCAAGTAAGTAAAGAACATGATAATATTGTATTTTTTATTGATCCATTGAATTTGTGAGATGCAATGAAGTCTATAGGTGCTATGAAGTAGGAGAAGGCCATAGAAAAAGAGTGAAAATCACTCATAGA